GATTCAAATCTGTGATTTTTTCCAAATAAAACTCATTTGATTTAAATCGCAATTTAAATCAGTGATTATAATCAAGTTGATTTAAATCAGACAACCCTGATATTAATTATTAATAACTCTAGAAATCAATGTAGAGAAAAAAGCAAAGAAAGAAAGAAATAGATTTGTACTCAAAAAGAAGAGTGTTAGGCAAAGGGACATAAAGTACCAAGGGACACTAGTTGCAGCAGAAACCAGAGTAAGTTAACATGAAGATTTGCTTGAGACTTGCATCACTGGCCATTGCCTTGTGATGGCTTCTCACCTTTAACTGCAGTTGCAGTAAAGCGCAAACTTTTCTGAGAATAGTAAGGTTCACTGCAGTGTGGAATCTTTTATTGCATGGCAAAATTCAGTATGGAACTCTCCATGTATACGAAAATACACAGTTGGTCACAAGAGACAATGCTCCCAGGTGCTATGGGCATGTACATGTACCGAAGTCAACTTGCAGGTGCTCAATGCCTATATGTACTACACTCTACGTGTACATGTCAGCAGTAGTATCCTAATTCAAGCTCCCAGACTCGCAACCATTCACCAGTGGCAAATCATGAGGCTTCAGTGGTACCGTAGCATACGAAATCCATCATATGACACAGACTATAATACATGTACATGTATATTGTTACATGTAAATGTGCCGGCAGTGGCGCAATGAGGGCTAAATTGGGGGGGGGACGCCTGGGATGCACACAAGGGCACACCACATGAAAGTAAGCCTCAACTGCATTACAACGGATATTCAAAGATTTCAAATGGGGGGCACGCGGGTAAGGGGGGCACAGGCATCTGGGGGGGGGCATCTGGGATGCACACAAGGGGACACCACATGAAAGTAAGCTGCAGCTGCATTACAACAGATATTATTCAAAGCTTCAAATGAGGGGGCACGCGGGTAAGGGGGGCACAGGCATCTGCGGGGGGGGCATCTGGGATGCACACAAGGGGACACCACATGAAAGTAAGCTGCAGCTGTA